GCTCATGCCGGGCAGCGCCATCATACCCTGGCACAGGTACTGGAGGCGCTGCGCTGATGGGCGATGCTGCCTCCTCGGCTTTCTTCAGCGTGCTGTTTGTCGGCCTTCTTCTTCTTGGGGCGGTGCACTGGCTGGTGCTGGGCCACCAAAGAGCGAATGCATGCCCATCATGCCCATACCTCCGCTCATTTTCGCCATCCTGGCACGGAGCTCTTCCTTTCTCCGGGCTTCAGGGTCGATATCCTCGTCATCGTCCTCTTCCTCCTCATCAGCGGCTTCCTCCTCGACGACATCAGCGTCATCCTTGACGGCAGTCTTATCGATCGACGCCCGGGGAGGAGGAACAGGTCCGGGGTTCGTAGGCACGCGAGACATGCGGCGAGGCCTCTCGTCGCTGTCCTCGCGCTCGGTGAGATCCTCCTGTCCCTCAGTCGTGTCGCCCGCCCCCGACATATCGGCTTCATTTCCATCATGGTATGACTCCACAGGGCCCTTGGAGGATTTGCGCCTCGGTGGAGGCGGAAGTCTGTCCGAGTCAATCGAAGTTCTCGCACCGACATCATCGGCGCCAGGACCCTCCAGCACAGGAGAGGTGACGTCTGGGCCCTCAGTCAGGGCTTCCGGGGCATCGTGGCTCTCTGTACGTGCCTTGGCCGGCCGCTTTGGCTTTTCCTTTTTGGTGACCGATTCGGCATGACGCTGCGCTTGTTCCATCTGCTGTTTCTGGAGTAGTGCGATGCGCTCTTTCAGGCTTGTAGGTTTGGGCTGATCAGAGTTACCGTCGTCTTGGTCGTTGGAGGTGGAAAAGCCAGCCTTTTCCGCATTGTCGTGGGCCTCGGCCTCTTGCTCCTTGATCTCGGGATCCTCCTCTCTCCTGTACACTTTCGTAGTGGGGGCTTGCTGAGGCGGGGGGATGTAGGCGTTGCGACTGGGAGGCGGAGCGACGAAGGGCTTCTTGACAAAAGCAGAGCCGGCAGCACCTATTCCACTAGGCTTGAAGGGTGCGGGAGGCGGTGCCGACTTGTTGAAAGCCGCGATGCGGTCTTTGAAGGCATTGCTCGACGGCTTGTTTGAAACGGGCGGGCCGCTCGAGGGTTTCGCCTGCGCCGGTACGGGCTTCGCGGCAGGAGGAGAACTAGAGGCGGCATGCTCGGCAGCCTTGGGCACAGGAGGGGCGGGAACAGGCTCCGCAGTAGCTGCAGCAGTCGACTGGGGCAGATTTTCGGTGATCTCCTTCGGGGACTGAACAGTGCCGTCGACCGGAGCTACCGGTTCCTTGGACGAGAGCGGTATAGCGATGGGAGCGGGCTCTGGAATGTCGTATGCCTTCTCAGGCTTCTCCTCTGTAACAGGTACATCACGAGGGGCTTCTGATTCAGACTGTCGGGTCGATTGAGGCTCTGGCTCCTGCGCAGGAGCAGGCACCGGGGCATGCGCAGACGCAGGCAACGAGGCGGCAGCCGCGGGCTCGGACGGCGCAGCAGCAGGTGGTTCGTTCTCCTTTTTGGTGCGGCTCCTCACAGGTCGAGGTGGTGCTTGAGGCTCGTACTTCTCGACAAAGTTACGGGGAAAGATGCCTTCGTGCTTGGCTCCGGCGTCGTCGACATATTCGCCAACGTACCAGTCGTCATCTTCTTCTTCGGTTACGGTGATGATGACACCGGGAGGGAATTGCAGGTCATCGTCGTGAGGAGAGGAGTATTCGTACAGCGCCTTCACTTTGAAGGGCACAGCCGACATGATTGCCTCGGATCTGTGATGCTTCGCAAGGCAGACAAGCAGGCGAATGGACGAGGGGGTGGGTGATGGTTGGAAGTGCGAGGTGGGAGCTTGGTGTTGTTAGGCGACAGCAGAGAGGAGTCGTCCCGCTGGAGGCGACAATGGGCTCCTCAGTGGGGCCCCGTAGTCGTGAGCAGAGCAGAGCACTGAGAATCGAGCACTGGGCACTGAGCTGTGGGGTGGGCGCCAATCAATGACGAGGTTGCCTTGGCCGCGTCCCACACCTTCCCTCACCTTGCCATCCTTGCACGCCTCTGTCTCGGTGTCTCTGGGTACCACTCTAGTCCGAGGTAGCTCGACCCGATGAGGTCACAGCCCAGTGATAAGCTGGCCCCAGCCTGCCTCTGTCCGGATGTGGGCGGAATCTCCAGAGGATCAGCGACAGAGGCCTGTGACTGAGGTCGTGAACATGTACCAACTTCGCTTTACCAAGAATCGCGCTATCAGTTCTTACGCTGGCCTTCCAGGTACATACATACCAAGCAGATGGATCAATTCGTCATCAAGAGCTCGTCCATCGCTTGCCAGTGACACGCATTGCATAGTTCCGAATTGGGACACGAAATCCCGATAACTTTCATGCCAGCACCACGTGCGAGTAAGCCAGCGAGGTATCTTGTGTTTCAAACCGTATCATATGACCATGGGAGGAAGCACTGCCGCATCGCGCTGGCTGTTCACGTATGCGTAGTCACCAAGGAGGAGCATGCAAAGACCGCGTGGCATGCACCCATCAACATCCAACCGTTCCGGGCTGGGCTGCCTGTAGCTCGTGAGCTTGTGTACCAAGTGATTAGTGGGACGCGGCTTTCTTCGGCTTCATGACCAGACTCTCGCGTTTTCAAGTGAAGAAGACTGCATCAGCTTTTGGGACTGATTGCACCCAAGCAACAGTCATTGAGAGGATGACTTGCAGGCCAGGCTGACTTTTCTCACCCCACTACCCCAGGCGACGTACTCCCAACATGAAAAAGAGTTGCCAATCAGCCTGCTCTGCATGTCCGCTCCTGCACGCTGCACTATTTTTCAGGCTGGGGTCCTTATCTTTTTGGCGCCGATAGTGGAGGAAGCAGGTATCGCCAGAATTCCGCGGTATCCTTCGCTAGGGTGTGACTGTGTCAGTGACTCACAAGCGTACTGACGGGAAGGTACCTTAAGTGCCCGCAGACTTGCCCAAGGGTCTCCGGTACCTTGTCCACGACGCTGGCCCAAGGGACCCACACCCGATCTCGCAACGCACCCTTACCTTTTATTCCTCCAGCCAACACCGTCTGAATCATTTCTCTCCTCCTCTATCCATTGAATCCCCTCTGCCACCATCAATTGACCCTGCATCTTCACTCGGATCCTTCCTCTGACGACATAATACTACCCGAAGCACCAAAGCATCATCACCATGGCTGGCTCTAAGGGAAAGGTCTGCCTTGCGTAGGTTACCCCGCCCCCGCATTCAAAGTTCAATGTACTGACTTGCGATAGCTACTCTGGCGGTGTACGTTCTCGAACCACGATCTCGAATCAATTTCGACGGTCAATTCCAGCTCCACGTTTCTTTCCATACTAATCCTGTGTAGCTCGACACGTCGACCATTCTTGCCTGGCTCATTGAGCAGGATGTAAGTAGGACGGGTTCAAAATTGTTGGGAGAGAGCTGACCACTGTCTTTAGTACTCCGTCGTGTAAGCAGCCTTCTATCACGTGGGCAGCTCGCGGAGCTGCCGCAATACACAAGTGAAGAAAACGGAGCGGCTGTTAATATCTTCTAGCTGCTTTCTTGCCAATGTCGGTCAGGAGGAGGATTGGGATGCCGTCGAGAAGAAGGGTTAGTTCTTACCGACGAGGCCGAAGCGGATAACGCATGCTGATGATAATGCAGCTCTTCAGATTGGTGCTGAGAAGGTATGTTGCTCGCACACGACAAGAACCCTCCCCCCCCCCCCCTCAAACACATCGGGCGCAGAATCCTGACGAATGTAGATGATCATCGAGGACATCACACAAAACTTTGTTGAGTATGTTGGTATACACACATGATATTCGATATCTTTGACTGACCAACGCAGCGAGTTCTGCTGGAAGGCTATCGCCTGCAATGCCATCTACGAGGACCAATATCTCCTCGGCGTACGTTCGATCGATCCTCTGCGGACACATAGAACCTGACAGATATCCAGACAAGCTTGGCTCGTCCTGCCATCGCGCGTGCGATGATGAAGGCGTAAATTATCTCCGCTGTACTTCTTACCAATTAATACTGACATATGGTAGTGCCGCGCGGGAGGGATGCGATTACGTCTCTCACGGTTGCACGGGAAAGGGGTAAGTCGTTCCATAGCTTCACATCTAGATGGGCTCTATACAGGAGGGCATCTGGCTAATGAATTCAATAGTAACGACCAGGTTCGCTTCGAGGTACGAACAGACGGCCCACGCTTGCCATGACTTCACAAACGAGTACGACGGATACTGATGCCTTTGGCTAGCTGGCTTACTACACGATCAACCCCGCGATCAAGGGTATAGTCCGGATCCTGTCTAACCCTTGCGCACACAACTATCGATCTGAGTCTAATCAACCACTTCTGTTTAGTCATTGCTCCTTGGCGCGATCCTACCTTCTTCAACCGTTTCCAGGGCCGCAACGATCTTCTCGATTACGCTGCCGAGAAGGGTGAGTTCGCACAGCAGACTCTTGCTGGGTTTCGCTAAGACGGTTTAGGCATCCCCGTCACCTCCACCAAGGCCAAGCCCTACTCTATGGATGACAATCTTGGTAAGCAAGCTCTTCGTTCGGATGACATGACTGCCGCTAACTTACGCAGCTCACTGCTCTTACGAGGTATGGGATAAGAGAGAAATAACCACAATTATCAGGGCTGATTGGATATAGGCGGGCATGCTCGAGGACCCCAATGTCACTCCCCCTGAAGACATGTGGACCAGGACCGACTCGCCCCTGAAGGCGCCTGATACACCCCTCGACATCAGCATTCACTTCGACAAGGGTCTTCCTGTCAAGGTCGTCACCCCCGAGAAGACTGTCACCGGCTCGCTCGAGCTCTTCAAGCTCCTTAATGATCTGGGCAAGCAGCACGGTATTGGTCGCATTGTAAGCACTCCATGGCTCACAGTACTATACCATAAGCTAATTCATATGAAGGACATCGTTGAGAACCGCTACATCGGCCTCAAGAGCCGTGGATGCTGTATGTGAATCCCTGGTCCCTGCGAATACGACACGCTCTAACAGATCCTAGACGACTCACCCGCGATGACTTTGCTTCGCCTGTCACACATTAGCATCGAAGGACTGTGAGTTTTCTCCAGCACAGGTGGACGATTCCACAGCTGACACTCGGAAGGGTGCTTGATGGACGTGTCCGTTCCCTTCGCGACAACCTTAGCAAGCAGTGGTCGGAGCTTCTGTACAACGGCTTGTACTTCAGCCCCGAGAGGGCGTTCCTTCAGCGTAAGTGATGTCACTCTCATGTTCAGGAAAACAAACTAACAGTGGGGAAAGCTTCTCTCGACTTCGCCCAGGAGCGTGTAAGTTGTGGTAATGAATGCCATAAATCGGCGACCTCTAACTCGAAAAACAGGTCAACGGCGAGGTCCGTCTTCGTCTTTACAAGGGCAACGCGTACGTTCTTGGCCGCACTTCCCAGGAGAAGCTCTACTCCGAGGAGGACGCGTCCATGGACTCGCTCACTACCTTTGATCCTTCCGAGACGGTACATGCTCTCTGCGCCATGTTTTTTTTGCAGATGCTAACACCATTCACAGTCTGGTTTCATCACGATTGCTGCCATTCGCCTCAAGAAGGTTGGACATCTCAAATACGTGTGTCTCGGAACATGTGCTAACATTTTGATAGTATGGTCTTCAGGTGGCCGAGGCTGGTCTCGAGCTCTAAGAAAGGAAAACCGCTCAAAATTCACAGGCAGGATAGGCGTTGCATACAAAAGTCAAGTAGACAGGAATACTGAGCTTATCAAAATAAAACTTCCATAACCTTGATGTAAGAATCACTTCTGTATCGCCGTGCGTTGGCTACGCTCGTTCATTGTCGACGGCCGGCAGCAACGCATCGGCACCCAGAGTGACATGGATCTGAACCGGCTGTGGACCTTGCCGCGATACTTCTGAGCCAAAGAAATGGCAAGGCCACACCCGTATGAATCTCGTACATATTTGGAGAGGGGCGGGGGCCGTAGGTACCGGGTTGTTGGCTTGTGGAGGTTCGAGGGATTAGAGTGCAGTTCAGTTCCCATCTGAGTTGCACCGTGCCCTGCACGCACAATGGCTTGGTGAGCATAAAATCCATTGACGGTATAGATGGAGTTTTCCAGGCCGAACTGTGAAGAACACCACCACGTCGAAGCCACGAACATAAGTAGAAATATATCCAAAAGAGACATCAAGAGTAACAACGCATAGGGTATACCGTCGTCCGGTGACTGGCAGGCCCTGTGTAGACACGTCTGTTCGCTGCAATTCAAACGCCGCCCGAATATCAGAATTGGGTTGGTTCGTGATATAAGTTCTTGTTTAGGGGTTTTGATGAGCAATACATTAAGACACGGAGAAGTTCATCCCTACAAATGCATATCCATTCAGTTGAGAGATATTCACGCTACCCAAATATGAGGTTGAGCAAACCTCGAGGCTCCACATTGTCATGGCTGATTCGATAAGCTTCTACGTCAGGGCTCTGGGTCCTTCAATGGCAAAATCCGACGGGACGGCTACCAGCGCCAAACCTCAAACCCTCTGTGGACACCAACCATAATGACGAAGAAGTCTCCCGGCAGCGTAGCGAAGGAAGACCCCTGACCTGAAAACGATACCGCGCAATGGACACCGACATTAAGCCCTTGAAGGGCATTCTCAAGCAAGCGCTCCACGGCCCCGACGGCCCCGCCGAAGCAACGTTTCGAAAAAAAGATCCCAAGGAGCTGGCCCTCCAACACGCGCGCATCCTACAGCAGCGCAAGGACCTCGAGGCGCAGATCCTCGACAGCCTCATCCTCCTCTCTGAATACCCCGCGACCCAGGGTCGCCACCCAGCCTCCGACCCCGCGCCTTCCGACGTCACGGGCTTCAAGACGCACGTGCGCCTCTTCCAGCCCGGTGATTTCGAGGACCTCATCGAGGAGCGCAATGCCAACAAGCTGTGCGGGTACACGCTGTGCGCGAGGCCAAAGCCCCAGTCCTCGCGAGGCGGACCGTGGAAGCTCATGAACGTGGGGTCCAAGGACTTTGGCATTGTGGACAGGAAAGAGATGGAGAGGTGGTGCTCGCAAGACTGCAAGAGGAGGGCTCTGTACGTCAAGGTTCAGCTGAGCGAAACAGCGGCGTGGGAGCGAGCGGGCATCCCCGATATCGAGATTGAACTCATGGGAGCAGCTCCAGTTCACACAAAGGATCCCGTCTCGCCAGGCTACCGAGGCGGTCGGACACCTACGCTCAACCGACCAGAAACCCAGCGGAGGACATGGCTGCGCTGGCTCTGGAGCGTGGGGACAACGGCACAGCGACGGCGCCCAGGGACGGTCACTCTCACAATTCGTGAAAAAGAGGTCGCGCCACCGATTGAGCCTGATTCGGACGAAGAAGACAGCGAGCACGAGAGAACCGCGCACCTGTTGATAGAGGGTCACAAACCGGGCAGAGGTAAGGCAAAAGCCCACGAGGAAGCCATCGAGGACGCGCAAGATGGATAGCAAAATCGCATGCACGTCCCCCGGGCAGCAGGGCAACGGATAAATCATCCCACAGATAACTTCGTCACAAAAATGATACCCCATAAGTCACACTTCAGACACACGCGCGGTCGGGCGTCACGACACGCCAACATGAGACCTGGCAGATCCCGAAGCCTCATGTGAGGATTGGGCTGACTACTCGTGACGCCCGACGTCGACATCACGGCAGGTGGGGAAGCAAATGGCAATCAAGCGTCATCTGTGGGCGAACCCAGCAAAATCAGCGACACCTTGGTGGGGGATGAACTTCTCTTTGAGTTCTAGTATGCCCGTGTTACCGTCCGCGAGACGCCGTCGGCAATATTCCGAATGCCTGATCCCAGTTGGTATCGTCCACCAGTTTTTCCATCCATCGTAACAAACAACGCTTAGTCGCGGCGAGGGGGGCGGTCGCCGAAGCGACGGCCACCACGCTCGGGGGCCTGGGCCTGGGAGACGGGGATGACATTGACGGGGATGGCGTCGAACTGCATGTCTGGTTAGCCGAAGACGCACTCGCGCATATAGTGAAAAGTAGAGACGTACGCCGAGGTGCTTGAGGAGGTCCTTGGTCTCGACGTCGACGTCGAGCTGGCCGCTCTCGGAGTTCTGGGTGAAGTCGAGAGCAGAGACCTCGGGGACGTATTGATCCTTGCGCTCACGCTCCTCCTCCTGGAGCTTGAACGAGATACCGCGGACAGGACCACGCTGAATACGCTTCATCAAGTGCGTAGTGTAGCCGGCAATCTGTTGTTCAAAAACTGTCAATCCTGGTACTTCGGGTCACCGGTTCTTTTGGGAAGCGCTTTCTGACCTTGTTGCGGAGGCGCTTAGAGGCGATGATGGCGATCTCATCGCAAATGCGCTTGTTGGTCTCGAAGTCCAGGGTGAGCTTGGGGTAGTACCGCTCAATGATGACCTTGGCGGACTTCTTGACGGTCTTGGTGCGAACGCGACCCATTTTGGCGACTGAGGATCAAAGGACGGGGTGGTTGGGCGGTGGTTGTCGTGAGGTCGTGATGAGGCCGTGAAATTCGTCAGAGTCGGTTGCAGAAAAGTACAGTGGGAGAAAGGACTTGTGTGGTAAAATCAAAAAGTGGGCCTAGGGTTCTCGTTCGCTGTGGTACTTGGGCATTGGGGGATGCTTCAAGCCTGACACGTGACCACAAAATACCTTGCAGCCCACCGTACTGCATCGACTTGAGGTTTTCGGCATTTGTAGTGCACCGCACTCACAGACCGACCCGCGTCGACTAAAGGAAGTCTTTATCGTTCACTTACACCAGAGCATTACACGTCACGTTTTGACTTGTAGGATCTCTAGGTTCAGCTCCGGAGTATTGGGCTACATGGCGCGTGACTTGTTGAACATCTTACATTGCTATACATAGGGGTTCTATCTCATAGTACACGCCTAGGGTGGCGACCCAACCCCCCAGACGGATGCGCATGCACGTTGACGTTTCAAGTCCCTGGAACCATCAGGTGCATTCATTTATCCAGGCCGTAGCTCTGAGAGCTACCGGTCTGAGCCTTTCCTGGCTTGGGTTGCCTTCTGATCAGAGGAGATCCATCTCGTCGTCCCAATGGAGAGCCGCGATATCCACCCAGACGCTGGGAGTGGGTTCGTGGTTCAGACTCTAGAGCATGAGCATTGGGGTTCTTGTTGTTGTAGATCTCAGCCTTGCCAATCAACTCCTTCTTGATCATCTGCGCCTCCTCGCTGGCCTCGTCGACCTTGAGAACAAGCTTGCCGGCGGAGTTGATGTTCGCCGACACGGGCTCCACGTAGCACTTAGAGCCACCCGTGATCTCGGGATCAAATGTGGCGATACCAGAAACACGAGCCTTGCCGCCACGGTAACTTCGGTAGTTGAAAGCCGAGTCGCCCTGCGGCGTGTCCGTGATGAAGCCTGCGACACCCAGCTTGGCGGGGTTGGACATATGCCTCGGAGAGATGATCCGGGCCAAGACAGGCGAAGGGTTCGCCTGAGGTCCGTAGAGCGGGTGGTTTTCGGCATGAGCATTCGTTCGAATGTACGACAGACCGCCAGACGGGTGAGTGATCGGAGGGCCGCGTTCGGCGTAGGGGTTAGGCGATTTGGACTCGATCCGGGTGCCAGCGGACATGTTGGCAATGGCGCTCGGGGGGTTGAGCGGGGCGAGGTCGAGGAACTCGCTGATCAGGGCAAAGAGAGTGACACGATCAGATCGCAGCTTGCGAGTGTATTCCGTCAGCTGATCCTCAGTGACGTCTTTGGCGACCACAGGCGCTGGAGCCTCGATGGCCTTATCGAGAGCCGCCTGCTGCTGTGCGGCAGTCAAATCGGAAGCCAAGCGCGTTCGGAGGAATGCTTGGAACTCCTGACGTCTGTTACGGACGGTCTTTTGCACATAATTTTCGAATTGTCCTTCAGTCAAGCCAGCCAGCCATGGCCCTTCGAATTTCCACCTCTTGTCGGATCCAGTTCCTCCGACGGCAGTAACGTCGTGATCGTCCTCGAAAACCGAAGTAGTGCCAAGGGATACGGCACGATAGCGATTCGGCAGGGTCGGCACGGTAAGAGGCAGATTGAGCTCCTGGAACTTCTGCAGCGTAATGGAGTGCTGGGATGAGGAGGAGTAGTCGGTGATCTTCTCGATCGAGTCAAGGTGCTTTACGTGGATGGATGGCGTGGACGATTTGGTGGTCATCTTAAGAGGCAAAGAGCGCTTCAAGCCCCAGTCGCCTTGGCTCCGCGAGCTCTCGGGCGTCGTGATGGATTGATGCGTCGGGTACGGCGATGTGCCTGTCGGCCTGCGAAGGGTGCTCCCATATCCGGCATCCTCGCTGGCAGCACTTGGACCCGGAATTGGTTTCGGAACGGAGAATAGACGCGACGACCGGAGCAAAGCCCCTCCGGGCGAGAGTCTAGCAGACATGGCCCTATTCGGCACCGGTGGTGATGCTGGCTCGAGGCTGCGAAGTTGTCTTGAGGCAGAGCTGGAGTTGGCGTTTGGGCGTGGAGGGAAATTTCCAATGGAGTGATGCGGAAACTACCAGCTAGCAGACTGGCGCGTTAACATTGGCCAGTTCCGCTATGCCATCTCCACTTTGCTCCCCCTTGCGATAAACCGACCACGGGCCGCTCAAATGTGCGACCCATACGTACCGTACCTGCCTCGACCTTTCCTCACCTAAAAGTCAAGAGCTGTGCCTTGATAACATGGAGTAGAAGTGTCCTTCACTTCACAACAAGCCCAGGACTCTTGACTTCCATGTGGGCTACAAGAAAAATGGCTTCCATCAACGTGAGCTCTTCAGCGGCCCTCACGTTTGAGCTGATCGCACGCTGTTCGGTATGAAATAATTCCTCCTCGACGCCGGCACTGTTTTCTAGATACCCACCGACTACCTCGCCGTGTGAGACGTTGCTAACAGCTCAGACCAGACAACAAGAGCTCGCGCATCAAACTTGACCCTCCCTCATGGACCAGTACAGCTTCCCATGTTCATGCCTGTTGCGACACAGGCATCGCTCAAAGGACTTACCCCTGAGCAGCTTGAGGAGACAGGTTGTCGCCTGTGCCTGAACAACACCTATCATCTAGGTCTCAAGCCCGGGCAAGATGTCCTTGCTGCTGTCGGCGGTGCGCACAAGCTACAGGGATGGAGCCACAACATTCTTACCGACAGCGGTGGCTTTCAAATGGTCAGCCTCCTTAAGCTGGCGAACATCACCGAGGAGGGTGTGCGCTTTCTCAGCCCACACGATGGGTCGCCCATGCTTCTCACGCCTGAACACTCAATCTCGTTGCAAAACACCATCGGGAGCGACATTATCATGCAGCTAGACGACGTCCTCGTTACAACGTCCCCAGACAAGGAGCGTATGCGCGAGGCCATGGAACGCAGCGTGAGATGGCTCGACCGCTGCATTGCAGCTCACCAGAACCCGACGACCCAGAACCTGTTCTGCATCATTCAGGGAGGTCTGGACCTCGAGATGCGAAGAGAGTGCTGCAGGCAGATGCTTGCGCGAGACACCCCAGGCATTGCCATCGGCGGACTCAGTGGCGGCGAGGCCAAGGCCGACTACTGCCGTGTCGTCCGGACGTGCACCGAGATGCTACCCGACCTCAAGCCACGGTACGTCATGGGGCATCGGCTATCCAGAAGACCTCGTCGTCAGCGTTGCGCTCGGCGCTGACATGTTCGACTGTGTATGGCCCACCCGCACTGCTCGTTTCGGCAATGCCATCACCAAACATGGTGTTCTGAACATTCGGAATCTCAAGTATGCGACCGATTTCGGCCCCATAGAGGAGGGTTGCGGTTGTATCTGCTGCAGAGAAGGGGGTCTGGGTATCACAAGGGCATTCATCAACCACAATACTGCCAAGGAAACGGTCGCCGCCCACCTGCTGACCATCCATAATGTTTGGTATCAGCTGGAACTCATGCGGAACGTGAGACAGGCTATCATCGAGGATCGGTATCCCGATTTTGTACGGCAATTCTTTGGCAACTTGTACGATAGCGACAAGACCAAGTTCCCTGAATGGGCTGTGGAGGCGCTCCGTGGCGTCGGTGTAGATTTAACAGATGGTTAATCAAACTTCATTAAATCCGTCGTCTTGTGACTTTTCACTGTGTTGAACACACAAGTATGGCTTCGGTGTTCTCGGCGCCGCTCCTGGCAACTTCACCCCCCATGAAATACGGCCCAGGCCCAGGATGAGTTCTCGTTCCACGACAGGCGAAAAACGTGGCAGTGTTGACTGGACATGCACACATGCTGCTGACGCTACAACGCATATGAAATGTGGGTACATTGCAGGCGGAAGAAAGTGCCAGAACCGCGGAGGGCTGCAAATGTTGTTCAAAGATTGCGAAGCGGTGTCACTTCGCGCGTAAGCTAGTTTGGTGTGGAAATGGCGAATATTGTTTCACGTTCAAGGAGTGTTCAGCCTCATCGTGCAACAAAGTGTGTCCGTTTCCAGACCTGGACAAAGGGTCATTGTTTCCGCCCAAGTTTCCACGTTTGTCTGTTCCGACCGTGCACGTGTTGCGGATCTTCATCCGAACTACACATTCGTGTGCCACCATGGCATCAGCTTACGGCTACAGCGTGGGTACGCCAATCGAGTCACGGAAAGCCACCTCAGATCCGAGGAGGATAGACAGCTTGAGTGCAGCGCCTGACAAGAGGAAAATTCGCTCAAAAGTGGTCGTCAACAGTGTTATCATTATTCATTCATCAAGTAGCCCATCCAGTGAACCCAGCCCGTTGTTCTTTTTGCCGCCCGCGCTCCAACCTGTAACATCCAGCCATGTGTATATCTACCCAATCAACGCCATATACTGTGTCCTATTATGTATTACGCCCGCCGCCCAATCACTTCGTCATACGACAGCCATAGCCCCAACAAGGGTGTCAAGTGCCGAGCTATGCGTACCACCGGACACGCGTTGTATAGGTCCGGCCCAGTTGACTCCCATCTTGTTCGCCTCGTCCCGGGTTTTGGGCCCAGTTGCTGTCCGCGTTGTTGAGGATGAATTTGCGATACGCGGCGTCGGGGGCGGGCTTTATGCAGGTAGTGCAGATTTCGCACAAGATGCCCTTGACTGCTCGCCGTCGGCGCCGCAGTTGGGCTCGCACGTATCGTG